ACTCAAGCAACTGAAGATAAACACTGCAATACTATAGGCAATTCTTAGTGTAACAGGTCCAAATCTGATGCTTTGAAAGGTAAATAGTATTTAATATGAAAACCATTTACAACAATAAGAGACTGTGTATGATGTGACAGTTTCCCACCACACAGTGATCATGGAGTATGGCCATCCTAGGTGTGCTTTTTTAATTACAAGAACAGTGTAAAATTTAGACAGTTGTGAGAAGTTATTAAGTTTTAAAGGATTGACATGCTTTTCATACTCTTCTAGGTGTCATCAAATTATTTGGAATTTGTCTTAGTAGTTGTTTTTCTATTGTTTTGAAGAGACACTATGACCAAGGCAACATATAAAAGAGCTAATTGGGGCTTACAATTCCAGAGGATGGGTGAGTCCATGACCATTCTGACAGGGAGTATGGCAGCAGACAGGCAGGCATGGTGCTAGAGCAATAGCTGAGAGCTCGCGTCTGATCCACAGGTACAAGGCAGAGAGCCATAACTTAGGATGGCTGGTCTTTTGAAACCCTACAGCCCAACCCTAGTGACGACATACCTCCTCTAACAAGGCCACACCTCCTAAGTCTTTTTAAAATAGTTCTACCAAATGAGTATCAAGTACTCAAACAAACAGGAACATATGGAAGCTATTCTTGTTCAAACTGCCACATAACTTTTCAACTCCTTTCTAAATATGAGTTGGGTATTTGGATCAGAAGGGAGTAAATGAAGCCATGGAGAATATGTGCTTCTAGAATCCTTGATCAGTTTGGAGGCAGGAGGGATCCCTAAGAGAAACATTGATCCTGCTAATTTATACACATGGATGCGGAAGTAATGAAGTCATTTATACATATTGAGAAAGTATGGGAAACTCTTGGGAAAAGGTCAAAGTCTGAAGGGAAGAGAATGGAATTATCCTGGGCACAAATGTCTAAGGATGAGGACTGAGGCTCAAACATAAATCTAGGACTACCTTTAGCCAAACTGCAGAGGAAACAATTACAAAGAGAGAAGAAATACATGGGTTCCTCTGGGGAACTATGAATTTTAGATTAAAAGTTACATTTTTTGATAAATATAATGCATTCATGGGCAGACATGTGAAATAAGATGCATAACTTAATGAGATACCACAAGATGATCACTTTATGATAGTGAAATGGAGGCAACATGTATGCGAGACCTGTCTTTGTCTTGCAATCACTTTCCTTTTCTCCCTTCCCAAAGCCACCTTGTTAATGATTTTTCTCATCATTGTGAACAATATCTGAAAAGAAGTCACGGGGGAAGGATTGATTTGAGCTCTTAGCTTGAGAGTATCTGACAGGAAAAGCACGGCAGATGTGGCCCCTGTCCCTGGCAAGGGTAGCATGTGGCTTGGGGTATATCACATGGGGGCAAAGGAAGCAGAGGGCCTGGCTGGAAGAAAGGCAGAGGTATAAGCCTCGAGGCCCATCCACCTGCAGCCAACTTCCTCTGCGTGGCACCACCTCTTCAAGGCTCCACCAACTCCCTACAGCACCAGTGGAATAGCAACTGTTCAAGCCCATGAGCCTGTGGGTGACATTCAAACCTGAATGGTGGCCATTATTCTGACTTTTAAGACAACCACTTCTTAGATCTTTCCTTAAAATTTCAACATTGAGGTTTACATTCATGAAACGGTAACTGTTCTGTCTGCTGTGACAAAATTCTTGACATACACAACTTAAGGAACTAAGGGTGTGCTTGGGGGCATGGGTTACGAAAGAATACAGTCCACCATAGTGGGCCTGGGATGGCAATCAGCAGGCACACATTGCATCTGCAGCCATGGAGCAGAGAACAACAACTGTAGGTGCTCAGCTTGCTTTCTCCTTTATGTATGTCCAGGACACCAACCTAAAGAATGGGGTCACCTTTATAGTGAGTCTTCCATCATCTCCATTAACCTAATCTAGAAAAGCCATAGCAGAAACGCAGAGGTTTGTTTGCACAGTGACTCTAAATCCCATGAAGTTAATCTCAGTAATCAAAATTTCTACACTGGACAATGAATTTTGCTTGCTGGGATTTATATACTTATATAGAATGGGAGGTGAGACTGATGGTAAGTCCTTCCATTTTTGCTCAGCTCACTTTGGGCAATTTACCCACAAGATAATTTGGAGCTGTAGCTTCTCAGTTCTATTATTATGCAGTGTTTTATTGTCTAGATATAATATTCTGATACACAAGCCCATGCATTACCTCTCAGTGGGACTGCTTGACCAAAAATTGCTTTTATTCCCCGTGGAATATGATAGCTTGTTTTCCTGATGCCTGTGTGCCCAGCCTTTTAAATTTTAGCTATTCTAATATGATCTTTAACATTTTACTGATTGAGCATCTTTGTTTATATATTTCTATTCTGAAGGCCCTGTTCTAAGCACTGCCCCTTCTATCTTCTTACCAAGACATTCCTAATACATTTTATATATGGGCCTAAATTAGAGGTTTTGTTACTCTGATAAAAAATACCAGAGAGAAACAATTTAAAAGGGGAAGGCTTTATTTTTGACTCATAGTTTCAAATCATAGTTAGCAGGTTCCACTGTTGGGGAAAGGAGGCTGAACATCATGGCAGAGGGGAGAGGGGCACAATAGCTACATCATTCAAACACATGTCCCGTAAACCTACTTCATCCAAAAAGGTTCCATCTCCTATTTTCATCATCTCCCAACAATGCCTTCAAATTATAAACCTGATGGTAGGTTAATCCACTCACTGAGCCTGAGGCCCCATGATCCAAACATGTCGCCAAGGCCCTACCTTTGAACTCTGTTAAATGTTTGAATTATATTGATGCAAACTATATGTGTGTATACATATAACACACACACACACACACACACACACATATATGTATAAGTTTTTACTTAATATTTTTCTTTTTTGAGACAAAATCATTCAGTGTAACCCAGATGGCCCAAATTCTCAATCCTCCTGCCTCAGCCTCCTGAGTGCTGGGAGGGTTACACGTGTGGTCCACCATTCCATCTGGTTGTAGTATTTTCCCCCAAAGTCCTTTTGTTATTATTCAGATGGTTCACATTTGTATTAAACAAGCTATATTTATGTGGAAACCTGTGGAAGGGCTATTTATTCTATTCATTTATTTGTCTATCCCTTCACCACTAGAATGCCATCCTAACTCTTAACTGCTCTAACTCATGACACTTGGGAGATATCCAACTTTATCATTCATTATTCTTCAGGAGACCAATAGTTTCTTGGTTATCTTCTTTCTTTTTCACTTACATGCATACCTTAGAATAAAGCTATCTTCCCTTTCTGCATGCATCACCCTGTTCTGAGAGTCTAAGGCATCAGTGCTGACTCTAGACAAATTTGGGAAGAACTGGCCCTGTAATAATGGTGATACAGCCATGAACACAGCATAACCTATTTTGCTCTTCAGTTTATTTCAAAGTGTTTTATAGTTCTCTCTGTATGTAGAGCTGCACTCTTTAATTTCACTATTTATTGCAAATCATATTCTCTTAAAACTTAGAACTTTGTTCATTACTAATCTACTAAAGTACAACTGACACTTGAGTTTCACTTTGTATTGGGAATAGAATAAAAAGGCCATACCTACATTGATTCTAAAAGGCTGACTGATTAGGGGCCTACACCTGTGATCGATTCTAGCACAAGCAAGGATGAGGCAGGAAGACGAGGAGTTCAAAGGCAGACTGCATTATATAAGGGGTGCAGACTGTGCTACATAAGACATTGTCATAAAAAAAAAAAAACATGGACACACTCTGTGATGAGGAAAACTGGAATGGTGTAGATATAAAACCAAATAATCTTTACACCTATCATTAGTGTCCTAACTAGCCACAAATTGCCCAGCTTTCCGTCAGGCTTAACATCCTGTTGTCTATCAGGTAAAACCTTTGGAATACATTATTAACTATCCTTACCTACAGCCCATGGAAAATTATCCCCTGCTTTGCTCTAACCCGCCTATCTCCTATTGTCCCCAACAAAGCGTCTGAGAAACGCTTCCTTTGTTTTGTTCTGTGACTGTTAAAGCTTGTGTAAATCCTTTTATGTTGAGACATGTTTTTTCAGGATAACCTGAATCAAGCTCCCTGGCCATGATAATTATTTCGTTCAAATTAAATGCTGCCTTATTCCCATTGAGAGGACAGTTTTCAGCAACCGTTAGTTTATTAAAAATTAGTAAGTTTTCCTACATTTTGGATTTTTCTACCCACATATCTGTGAGCTGTCATTTTTATTCCCTCCAAAAATATACCCCCTTTTTTTTTTAAATCAAATTACCGAATAACATACCATCATATCAATCTTGGAAATACACAATTTAAGTTGTGTCTCAGTTAGGGTTTCTATTGTTGCAATGAAACACCATGACCAAAAAGCAAGGAGAAGAAGGGGTTTATTTGGCTTATACTTCAGCATTGCTGTTCATCACTGAATGAAGTCAGGACAGGAACTCAAACAGGGCAGGAACCCAAATGGGAGCAACCCTCCCCTAGGTTGCTCAGTCCATTTTCTTGTAGAACCCGGGACCAGCAGCCCAGGTTTGGCACCACCAACCAAGGGGCGGTCCCTTCACCGTCGATCGCTAAATGAGAAAATGCCTTCTTTACAGCTAGATGTCAAGGCCATTTCCTCAACTGAGGTTCCTTCCTCTGATGACTAGCTTGTGTCAAGTTGACACACAAAACCAGCCAATGTATGCTGTAAACTCAGTAAAAATCTGCCATTGCATTGGACCTCTTTACTACCTCCCAACCACTTATCTAGAGAAGACTTCTGCAATCCCTCCTAAACCAGTGAAGCTGCAGACCTTCCACAGAGGAAGCTTCCTAGCTGGAACTGCCTCGGCCCGAGCACTGAAGGTAGCCTCTGAAATGCCGCCCCTCAACCTGACGCAGCCAATCATCGTCAGGCTCGTAACCCTGCCCCTAGACAGACGCAGCCAATCAGCGGCAGCGTCTTTTGCGCGCCCTGCTTGCGAAGATGGCGGTGTGTGTTGGCGCGCAGGCTGTGTGCGGAGCCGTTTCACAGCTCCCCGGCAGCGGAATGTGAATGCGGCTGGAGGAGGGTGCCACCGGGATGAGTCGGCG